GCGAACAAGGCGACTGCGTCGGCCATCAGAGCTGCATGATAAAACGCCGGAGACGATGCGGACTGGCCGCTGGCGGTGTCCGAGGCGACTGTGGGGCCACGACTGCTCCAGCCGTTCCAGTCGGCCATGAACTGCTGCACGTCGGAGCGCTGAGGCAGTGGTGTAGGAAGCCTTCGTTAATTACTGATTTCTCATCAGTTTATGTGAAGGTTTGTCTTAAGTGCCAGAATAACTTACTTCTGGGTCCATTAAACGAAATCCAGCCAACTTTGTGCCCGAGTAAATGTAGTCAGTCAGATCAGCGTCAGCCACATTGACGCTTGAAAAGAGGAATTCATACTCGCCTCGATTCATGCCAATTTTGGAAAACAACCGCATCAGACGTCGAGTCTCCTCAACACGCGAATCGATCACTAGTCGTCTGCATTTCCTCTTTTCGAGAGCACTGTCGAGAGAGAATAGGGTGTCCAGCACCACCTGCTGGTCCGTCAAACCGCCCACGTAGTGGACGGTTACTTCGGCTAGACTGAAGTTTGACTTCCGGGCTTCCAGCTCTTCCACCAGATCTGTCAACCTACCGACACCCTCGATGCTCGTGGTGAGGTAGGAGAACCTCGTCCAGTTCTCGTAAACCAGCACATCGGCGAGAGCAGCCGTGGTTGTGGGCATGAGGTTCTGGGTAAAGGAACGCCGTTGGCCCCCCGCCGTGGTAATCAAAGGCACTTCGGTGGCTGTGGCGGCGTTGGAAAGGACCTGACTTACCTCCGAGCGAAACGCCAACTCGCTGACAAACACCGCGAGCACATTGTCCGCAGCGAGCTCGCAAAACCTGTCCAGGACAGTGATAGCATCGTGTGGTGGGCTGAGAATGCTCAATTTAGGGAGAAGGTAGAATGGATTCCGCGGATTCCTGTTGTAGGAGTAGACAGCGAACGAGAAGGCACTCTCGCCCACCGAGCCAGCTTCAAACATGCCCGCGATGGGAATTTCCTTCCGCCGATCGCTTTCAACGGCGACTACGCAGTACACTGCTGCGAGGCCGGTTATGAGCGTGAACAGTGCGCGACTCCTCATAGGTAGGTCTGCAGGAAAATGAGAACGCGAATTTGCGCTAGTTTGAGCTCATTTGGGATTTGCGACAGCTCTACACAGTCCTGATTGGCTGTTGCAGCCTCAAGTGATCTTCATCCAATCACAAACTTAGAGCACATGTTAACTAAGCCTCAAGTAATGCATGGACGAGTCACACCAAAAATATTTTTTGATAAATTAAGCTTTGAGCTAATGTCATATAAGTGTTACATAAATGTTATTTTATAAGCGAGGAGATTAATTTATGTATGATCGAGCAATTCCGCTCCTTCCTCATTGGTCGCCTGTCTGTGTTCTGATTGGCTAAGCAATCTTTATAATCGATTATAACCAACCGGTCGTCTTGATTTATTATTTGTCCTAAAAGAAGTAGTGTGGATCTTACATGAGTAAACTTCAAATAAACCAAGGAATTCAAAGTAAAACAATACCCTAACAATGCAGATTGCGCTAACATTTTCACAACTAATTTATGTCTCGGAATCGCCAATGTTTCCCAGTATTCCGATTGTGAGGTCTGTTGATTTCCGATCCAAAGACAAGCTTAAACAACTGAGCCTTTACTGCGTTTTTCATCAATAGCAACCCTTTATCCTGAACATGACCCAAACGTGTTCGTAGCCACTCATCCGTTTTTTTGTACACAAATGAAAATCCAAGAAGAGGGGGAATGAAATTGACCAATCACAGTGAGCACGATGCGTCTCATTTTCCACCATACTTTTTGTATGATTTTCAAACAGGATGAACCACTTGCCTAGTTACAGAGACTTCTACACACAGAAAATAAAAAATTTCTCCAGCCAGTAATGTTTTGCCACCTCTCTCTGATGTTTACGGGGTATATTTCTAAAAAAAAGAAGATTTAATGCAAATTCATAACTGTTTCACTACTCAATCGTGACGCATCATGTTAATTAGAAATCGCAATTGTCAGGCGGGATTATTATTAATTTTTGTAAATGGCACAACGAGCATTTTAAAACAAAACCGATTTGTCCTTTGATTGTTGTGAATTTGCACCATTCTGCCGACTTTTTTTTTATTTTACACTATTCCGAAATCAAAAATCGTTTTACCTAAAAAATATTCTCCCCGCGATTAATTACACAGTTAATTCACTGAGTTAGTTTCTGTTTACAACGTTCTCGGGGCATGTGTACCAGCCTGCTAGAAAAAAAATAAGTTTTTCGTGCCGCTGCTTTGTTTAACCACGTAAATCAACGTAATACTTTACTGTTTAGATGAAACGCGGTTGGTTTAAGGGCAGAAAATTTTGCATTTCGTGGGGCATAAACGAATGCCGCAACCATGACGCAACATGCATACACTACTGATTGACAAACCTCTAAGTGTTAAAAAAAATTGCTAAGTCATGGGATATAAACATCGTTGAGAAAGTAAGTGGATTTTTTGGGGGTGAAAATAGCTTTGTGCAATAATTGAGGTTTCTGTGAAGTCAAAGAAACTTAAATTAGCCATTACGTGGTCCCACTCTACTACATCTCGAATATTCACCAATTCAGATGACCTGGTGTCTGACGAGAAGTGCTGATTGGTCAAGGATCACAGTGGCAGCACAGTATTCATTGGTCAAAACCCACCTTGCTATTTGCACTTGCACGTACGTATAGCACTCGCAGATTTTGAGGAAGTTCCAACTTTAACAGTGCCAGCTTGAAACAACCTTGCCCAGGAAAGATTACTTTACTGAAAACTTAAAAATATTTGGCAAAATTTTGCAACGAATGGCATGACATGCGAAAACCCTGTCGCAGTGTTGGACATTTGAAAGAGCTGGAGGCATGGAAGTGAAAGAGCAGAAGCCATGGCAACTACCCAATTGCTGTTCTTTCGTTGTATGTTTCGAAACAATTGGGAAATTTCTACAGTAAACTAATTTTATTAATAATCTGTTAATACAAATCAATTTCTCAACTAATGTTTACGTTCACTGGTTGGTAGACGGACAGACATCTGACACATCCGAACCAAAAGTGAAGACAGTTTGTTACCGATTTTAGGAAATAATTGACTGGAGGTTAAAAATAAGCGCCGTAGCGAGTCCCATTTTTACCGATGTAAATGTTACGTTTGACTTGACTTGATAGAAGCGTAACAAAACAAATGTTAATAAATTAATGTAAATAAAATCAGAAACCAATCTTGGGGAATCGTGGATCCCCAACAGTAAATCAACAAGTTCGTGAGAAGATTACGCATGACCTAGAACACCAAAATCTGCTTGCAACTCTCAAAACATTTGGATCGGTAAAGTAGCTGTTGCCTATGGTCCACGAGACAAGCTTTACAACAACTCGAAATCTATAACGGATCAATTGTGGCTCATACAAGGTGATGCACCAACCGTTATAGTAACTGATTTGACTGACTTGCACTGAAGCGTCTTGGATCACTTCCAGTAACCTGGTCGCTGCATTGTCACACATACCGTCCCCTCACCTAAATTGCATGGGTCAATGACTACAGTGAAGACAGGCACACGACAGCACAACTTGGTTGAGACGACTGGTAAAGCGTCGAGTCATCTCTCGCTTATGTCTCACTTGCTGAGATGCTAACGAAATCCTGCTATCTTGTCCTTCACAAACATTTTCAGTTCTCTGAATAACGGCGACAGTTTTACGAGTACTTACTCTACCAGTTGCATCACGTTCACTGAATTGATTCGTGAAACAGGTAAATACACTATTGCTAGCGCGAGCAATTCTGGCAAACTACGCATGATGTATTTAGCTATTGACAACCTGATTCGTCGGCTGGCAAGGTCACATCAAGGTCGAGTCAACATTCAAACGAACCTATCGCGGTAACGCAAATATACACACTGATCGACACTCCCCCCTCACACACAAACTCTATAAGAACAAAGTATGTTCCAGCACCTCGACATGGGAATTAGGCGATAAGCGTCAGCTTCATGGAGTGCAGAACGAAGCACACAAACCTCCACGACTCTGCTGTCCGCTATTCAGGTCGACTTCGCTTACGCCTGTTGATACGACTATGCCAGGGTGATGTTTTTGACCTGGGTAAATTATTTCTGGTAGTCACTTGCGAGACACCCAGTTGCCTGTATCCTAACCAATCGGAAACCGGCCAATAGGAATCGACTTCGAGAATTTTGTGGGTATTTCAAGTCGTGATTTGTGAGTAAAGAGACGGCAGGCCTCGTTTCGCTCGACGGAAAACAATCTGTGTCGCATTTTTGTACGAATTTCAGCCCAAAGAATGGAATCAAAGCAAACAACCAAATTAAAAAATATGCCCGATGTTGTTGGGGGCCAGATAGAGACAATTTTGGTGCGTGAGAAATTTAATTAGCCGATTCCACGTCTCAAAAGGAGTTTGGGTTGGGGTGAAGAAGTGTGCTCACCCAGTTGCTGCTGTGGTATAATGCGCTGAAGCACCCCGTTCAGTTAGAATCACCCACTGACCGTCTAATCGAGCAAACAATCTCTGCATTCGCAGCTTGTTAGCAGGTTTTTCAGTAGTCCTTCACCACCACACCCATGTCCAACGTCAATTTGGCCACCGTTAATAAATTACCACGCATATTTTTGGGTGATTAGCCGAGTTTGGTTGCCAAAACGTGCTTCAATGAGAGCAAAGTTAACGCGAATCACTAACACGACACAAGTTCGGAGGCAGGGAAGGATGAGGATATTTCATGGATTGGTCAAAGGAAGTAAAGCTGACCTCTTCCGGTCTTCCTTGGCAATCCAGAAATTTTCTACTCCAAGGCCGAAGACCACCTGTACCAAATTAGAGCCTAGAACAAGTAATTTAGCTCTCTGCGTTATAGTAATGTAATTTTAGTGAAATAGGCGTGTTTTCTGACGCAATTTCAGCATGTCCATGCCGTCAACAATTTGGTTAGTTAGGAAGCCACGAATTCATTTTAAAAAGAGCGGGAGGGTGCGTTTGGTGTCCTCAATCAGTGCATACCTTAGCGTTCATAACAAATTGAGAGTCCTTCAATTGTCTACAAGCACACGAAAGTTTGGGCACAGCAATTTTCGTTAATTAAGGCTTCAGTAGTACTCAAGGCTACACGCCACAAGGCAATAACGGTTTTGTGGTTTGACGGGTTGCAAATCATTGTGGGCCACCACTCCTTTCCAGACAACTTGTTGAAGAAACGGATCCCTGTTCAACGTGGACACCAGGGCCTAGCTGGTGATTGCCCACTGAACATCTCATGGGGAACCACATTTCTTTTTTTGCAGCCGCTTCAGTTACTTAAAACAGTAATTCAATTGGTGTCACTTCTTAAATGACCTACTTGGAATCTGGTTCAATTTTAGCCACTACAGGACCCTTGTCAAAGTCGATCGGAACTCACATGTTAACTAGACTCTTTTTTGGTTGTTCAAGCCGACGATGACAACTACAGTAAAATAAGCAGCACTGAGGACACTATCCACAGTTTGGCATGTAGCGGAGTAACGGAAGACCTCAAAATGTATCCCAGACGCCCTTAGCACTAATTTTAGATATCTAAAAACACCGTCTTCTGCAAGACCTTATCAAAGCCGACCTGATCTCGCGCACAACAAAATTTAACCATTACGACCACTTTGCAACAATGTACCGACCCCTTTGCAGGGAAAAAAACTCGATGAAATCAGCCCCGATCTCCAGAATTGTCAGCTTCTCGACTTCCACTGAGGTAAGAGCCAGGCACTGGGCGCTGTGTGCGAACAGCCTCAGGCGAAAAATCTCCTCAAAGTCTGATTACATTGGATTCCCATGGGGTAGGGGATTTTCCCACTGGTTGCTCTCTTTATTAGCATGGACTACAACCTGTGGGGGTAATAATCACAATCAGGAGATGAGACCTAGGCAATCAGGTTCCCCAGAAAGCGGTTTTCTACATGACACTTTGTAAGCGCGCAATCAGCCAATAGCGTGCCGAGAACGATCTCACATGGATTCTCATGGGGTAGGGGGGATATTCCCACAGGTTGCGCTCTTTATTAACAAGGATTCCAACCTGTGGGGGTAATAATCACAATCAGGAGATAAGACCTAGACAATCAGGTCCCCCAGAAAGCGACCTTCTACACGACACTTTGGAGGTGCGGAATCAGCCAATAGTGTGCCGAGAACGATCTCACTTTAGCAAACCCGACTGGAGGAAACTGTTGGCTCTTTAAAGTGCCATTAATTCACGCTTTTTATCTGGTTCCTCTAATGTGTTTTGAGTAAAGCTATGCTGCAGTATTTTTGAGTTTTTAGGGTGGAAAACGCATTTCAAAATACCCACCACGAACCAAATGCAGACGTCGGTACCCGAGGTGGGGCCGCACACACACACACACGCGCACGCCGTGTCAAACACGAAAAACGACGAAAACAGCACAAAAATTAGAAGCTTTCCAACAAAAACGGAGTAGACAAAGTCGTGTGTGTGCGCGCAGTTGTAAGTTTGCATGCACATTCGCCGCTTTGAGTATGTGTGTGCGTGCGTGCGTGGATGCGCATGCACTCTACCACAACGACGAAATTTTTATTCAACTGGGAGTCGGAAAGGAGACGGGTGGTCGGATTGGGGGTTGGGGAAGGGGGGGAGGTAAAACGGGCGTCCAGACAATATCGACCGCGCGCAGACCAATAACGGGGGGAAGAGGGAGAGGAGGAGGGTGACGGTAGAGATCGTTTGGGTTGTGTGCCCAGGCGGATTTCACGACCGCTCTAAAAGGTAAATGTCGAAGAGTTTTAACAAGACAACCACTGCACCTTCAAAGCGGCTGCGTTCGGATCGCGTGAGGTGGAATCCTGCTTTCTGTGCTCCAAAACTCACCAAACGACGCCGACTCAAAGTCGGCCCAGCCTTCGTTGTTGTCGACTTTGCTGCCTCGTTCACCTTCGGGGTCCGCCGTCGAATGGATCATCGGCGTGTCGACTGGAGTGAAGATTGGAGGCCAGGATGGTGAGGCTGCAAGCATTGAACAAAAAAGTAGCTTCTAGTCACCTCTGAAAGCACATGTGGACGACCTGATACGCAGAATTGATAAGGGAGAATAAGAGACGAGAAGCCTTACATGCATCCATCTGTTTGACAAAGGGAATTCCGTTGACAGGTAGGTGGAGTGTCGCGGGCGCCTGATTGGTGCGTTGTTGGCGGATGGTGAGCGGTGACTGGAGGATCTCCTCGTCGGACGAGTCGCTGCCGCCACCGCCGCCGCCCGCACCCTCGTCGTCGCTGCTCACGTTCGGCTCAACCGCCTGATGATCCTCGCACTCCTCCGCGCCGTCGACATCGTCATCGTCGTCGAACGCGTCCTCGTTTGGATCGGATCGTGGAGCGCCTTCTTCACCGTCGCCCTGGCCTAGCGCGCCATTCCGAAAACCCGAAGTGCTGCAAACAATACACAAACCACGTGAGCCACGAAATCATGCCATATTGACCTTACACTTGCGGTCAAATGTAGGCCAATCACCACACTTGCTACTGAGCCAATCAGGTGACAGTGTGTGACTGTCTTGACCAATCAGACAGAAAGATGAGACACGGCACTACAAGAAGCAAATGAAAACGCGAGCTTACATGAACTGGAAGTCAGCGCCACCGTGAAGAATCTACAAGTAAAAAAAGAAGCGACGTCAAATTGTGTTCTACTAAAGCAACACTGTCAGATGTGCAGATGAGCCTGCCTTAAAGAGTTCGGCCATTTGACAACCGGCTCCGCCAATACGGAGGCTGCCAAGGGCGAACGGGGACCTGTCGTCGGTGTTCTCCGCCACCGCCTCATCCTGAAGGGCAAGAAGAGGGGGGAGTTAGGTGGGGGTGGTGCTCTGATTCTTGGCGACGACTGTGCAGGTCGTTTTAATCGTCAAATACACCACGCGGGAATCAGCACAGAATTCGGCACACGCTTTACATTACCTCCGTTATCCGCTGAGCCTCGTTGATGGCTTCCAGATCGTTCTGCACGAAACTGTCCCATTTGGAAGCAACGTCTGGGGGTAGATCTACGACGAGGAGTGAAAAGAACGAGTGATAAAGCAGGGGATATTCAATACCAACAGCTGAACATCTTGTCTACGAATCGCCGTGCTCATCTGAACAGAATTAGCACTCAAAACTTTGACATTTGCACAATAGAATCACATTGTTACAGGGATCGTTAATTTCACCAGCGTGGATACACGCACAAAATGACTGACGCGCGGTTGATCACCTTTAGATAAGACACTAGCTGAGACGATGTTGGCGATTTGCCAGAGGTGACCGGAGTAGCCAGGCTTGGGACGGATGGAGGATAGGCGGCACTTGGCGGAGGAGTCTTCACCTGTGGTGTTTGACCTTGGAAAGACAAAGAAAAGAATACAAATAACAAAAAGGAGGGGCGTTTAAAAGGTTGGTGTGAAAGGGATGAGCACGGTCGAACTTGGCCACCAGGCCGATTCTCACACGACAGCGCTAGCTGCGAGCCTGCGCACGCACGACGCGTGGTTGCTACGTGGCACGTCACGCGTGTTTGTTTAAAAGCGCGGGCAACCGAGCGCGGCAGCGCGAAGTACGAATTGTTGCCAATCATGGACGCCAGCGGTGCAACGACAGGTAAGCAGCATTGACTCTTAACTACCACAGTCCTCTCGGAACCACACGAAGCGCAAAATAAAGCGGACGTCCGTGCGTGTCCATGGCCTGCATCGGTAGATAGGCCCGCTAAAAAGCGCTACTTGAGCAAAGACGTGTACGAGCAGGTGCGGCGGATGCGCGCGGATGGTGATTCAGTGGCGAAGATAGCCGAGGCGCTCGGAGTCCACCGTGGAACCGTCTACCGCATCTGCCTGCCGCAGAACAAGCCGCGGGAGCCGTGCGGCGGTCGACCGAGGAGCATCACGCCGCGCGACGAGGCGAAGATGCTCGAGGTGTTTCAGAGGCACCGCGCTCTGCCGCTGCGACGCATTCAACGCGAGCACCTCAGCCAGTACTCGCTGGGCACCCTGCGGAGGTACTTCACCAAACTCGGCTTCTCCAGCTGCTCCAGGGTGTCGATGTCAGCGTGTTTGAGCGTCCTCGGCACTGCTCGCCCGGTGAATCGCAGACAACCACCCTCCCCCCAGCCACCTCCCACCTAACCATTTCAACCCCGATTTTTATATTCCCCATTTTCCAAAGAAGACAATAACGCCACCGTCATTATTGAATTGGGGCTTACGAGTAGTAAGCGGTGTTTTTTGGCGGTTTTAACCGGGTAAAATAAGAGCGCGCTAGGGAAAAATAGACGCTACGCCACTGCCCTGCCAGCGCAGATTCACGCGAGCGCAAGCACGCGCACGGACACAGCCACCAACACCACCCGCCCCTACCACCAAACCGTGTGGAACAGGGGGGAAATCGAACAAAACGGGAGATGATGCTGACGGAGGGCTGGAATCGATTAAAGGCAACACGGAGACCCACAAGCGCTGCTTGTCAACAAGCTGAAGGGGTAAACGAAGAGGCAAGGCTAGCATCTTTGGGGACTCACTTATCGTTAGGGATGCAAGAAAGACGCAGGATCCAGTCGATCACGTGACAGTCCTCAAGGAGGTGCTGAACGAAGATGTTGCGCTCACGTGGGACCTCCTCGCTACCTAAAAGGACACACACACACGCACAAAGTTAACGGAGACACAGGGATTTCACCTGCCAAGGTCACAGCGAGAGTGCAGAATTGTGCAAACAAATTTCACCTTCTTATGACCCCAAAAAGGCGCAGTCGTAGCGAACGCTCGGATAGGTCGTCAATGCTGATTAGATGCTAGGTTACCATAACAACTACGTGCACAGAGTCCAAGGTCATACAGTAGCCAATAGGGGTGTGGCTACGGATAAAAAGTCATTGAGATTCATTTGCGCATCTACAGTTCTACCGAGCCGTCGGAGCAGACTTTAAAGCGTGAATGAGTGAGGTATGTGAAATTAGCGCCAAGCCCTTAAGCAAACACGACACACACAGTAAAACAAGTGGAATATGGTCGTGGTTAGGGCTTGAAAACTTGTCCAATGGCTGACGAGATGGGCAGTCAGATGATTGGATGGTTGCGGTGGACCTCCCCAGAGGGGAATCAAGCAGAGTTTGGGCGAATAGTCTTCGGATATGCGTTAGCAACGATAAAAAACAGTTCTCTTTGGCACCATAAGGTCCTTATGCAGAGAGGCGACACATTTATCGATGCGAAAACGGTTATTGAAGCACCAACCCTGTTTATTTGCCTCTTCGGGGGTTTTGTCAAGTGAGCTGCAGCCATTCGCATTCTCCGTAGGCGAAGTCAGAGTGGACGCGTTATCGCCCTTAGTGCCTTCTGAAGCAGTAACTTGGGGTGACGAGAAGAGGTGCCTGAACATGGAGGTCACTGCCATGTGGAGGAGGGTGTTAAAAGGGTAACTTTCGAAAAGATGCTACAAAGCAAGAGAACAAACGCGTCAAAGCATAGCTTTAAATAATCTCGCTACTTAAATTATATCAGTAGAAATCTAACCATAAAGCATGGTAAAAATCGGGTCTGGCAGATTGCCTCGCGCAAAGACGCATATTCGAGTTGGCAGAGCACAGAGACAAGTTCGACGATTGCGAGACGGCTCTTGCCCAGCGGTGGAGAGAGGGTGCCCACTGTTGTCGGCATCGCCAGATAGTGCTGCTGCCAGAAAAAGAGAAGACAAACGTAAATGAAGGGGGAGAGGATGTAGACAAAGGTGTCCAAAGCGAGACAAGACCGCGCCAAACCTACACCGGACGATCGCGTGCATTCAGACGATTGTAGGAGGCTGTACAGTTTGGGCAGACGCGGTATCACCATTGCCGCCGCCGTGGACTCCACGCGTCTTAGCCGAGCCATCAAGAGAGGGCAGTTGGCCTTCGTTGCGAGGCGATTCATGAAGCCACTCATGCCAGGGACCTGGACGTTGAACAGACCGGCTGCGAGGTTGCCAATGGGGTTCTCCTTGAAGTCGTCGCCCGCGCCAGGCGGCAGACCGTTGCTTCTGCACGAGGAATGCACCACTTGGTGACTGCAATCCACACCAAGGGGAAAAACTGAAATTTAATCGACTGTGGACACTCACGATTTGCCCTTGTCGATGCAGGCGAGGAAGACGTCGATGGCGAACGACCGCAGAGATGGTGACGAGGAGGCATCATCCACGATTAGGTCCAATACGTCGCCGAGGAAGTGTTCGCTGTAATTGAGAAAACCGCATAAGCACGCTGGATTATCAGACAGCTCGTCCACAAAACCACCTCAGACACAAGAAGCCTTCGAGGGAGATCCACGTACCTCTCGAATTCGTCCAAGACGGCAAGCGCCCTTTCGAACATCACTCGCTCCTTCTCGGAGTCGAAGGCGTTGGAGGTGTCTGGAGACTCGACGACTTCCGCGCCGTCACCGACTTTGTGGCCGGCGGGTGGTTCCGGAGCGTTTACAGCAACGTAGTTCCTGTAGACTGACATCAATTCGACGAGGCATCGAGCCGAATACTCCTGGCGCTGTAATGCCAATGGAAACATAAAAGTAAAGGCGACTGAAGTGCATGTAGGGGGCCTGAATTGCTCCGTTGTCGACCTCTGCTTGCGCTCAAGTCAAATTCAACATTGGGTCACTTTATGAACATAGACACCTCAAAAAGAACAACTACTAGCTGCTCTAAAACGGTCATTTCGCTGATGTCTGAGGAGAGGAGACTTGTCGTGACGGCCACCTGACAATGACTATCGTCAAGTTTAGACAAAGCGATTTGTCTGAAACACTGCACGGCTAAGGATTTGCGGTGTGTTTGGGTTGAAAACTGACGCCGCATGTGGGTTCGTGTTGTTCCCACCTTGGCAAACGCGGATAACTGCTTATACCGAGACCCCGTGTGCACAGCGGTCTTGATTCAGCCCGATTTTGGCGGCGAAACAATTCCAAATGTGATAGTACCGTTCGCTAAAGAGAGGTGTTTTGTAGTACAGCACGAGGCGAATTGTGAAGGCATGCAAAGATGATCAACGATTGGGGTGCTGGACATATCAGCTCGCCACGTCGATTGGTGTCCTGACTGTCCAGTTAGCTGGAAGAACGGGTGGCCACCGTGGCCAGTCCGATCGCTGAGGCTTCCGTGGTTCGCTGAAGATCAAAGCCGCTGACATAACGCACACTGCTGAGCAGTTTGGGACAACTCGCGACTATCCTGTTAGCTGGACAAAACCCTGCGACAACGATTGGTTGGCGTGAGATATATCTCCAAGACAGCCACAACTGCGACACCGTTGAGGTCGGTTTTGGTAGCAGAGCGCTTAAAAACTGTGTAAGCACTGGTGCCATCGTGTGTGCGTGTGATCAGCGGAGCCACGCACGTATCAATGTCAACGCGTCGTAAACCACCGATTTAACCTGAAAAGTGTAGAAAGGCGTCGTGCGTTGTGTCACAACGGCCAGCGTAAATTACTGACGTCTGCCTGGCTGATTTCGACGCCACGACGGTGTGATTGGTGTGAAGCTCAAGGCTGATAACGGATGCTTGTCGTGATGATCTCTCACCTAACGGGGAATCGATCAACAGAGACGACTGCGTCGACCAAACCAGCTGACTTCAAAAGAGGACTTCAAAACGTCCATAGTTTGCCATCTCGGTCGCATTCAGTGTCGAGGTGCAGTCCACGTTAGTGCTCCATCGACCGCCGACTCCTGAAAACTGCGCAGACATTCCAACGAGCCGTGGGCTTGACATCTTCAGTGCGCGCGGCGCGCCGTTAGACGAGAAGGTTAAGGCGGCGCTTTGGGATCGCACATTAGACGACAGGCAAATCAACTGTGCATAAACAAGCGCTAGTCAGGTGACGAGCTGGTGCAAAAAAAAGATTCGTCTTTTTTCGGGACACCACGCACTCACTGGCAGTGGCTTGTTTGTTTGCGTCAGTGGTTGGCAAATACGGCAAAAATGTGCCTTAAATCGGTAGAATAACAACTTGAGGTCACTCCGTGTGTGCACGAGCTGAGGTTGGTCAATTCTCTGCAAGGCAAGAGGCCGATTCCGTGGAGAAAAGGTGACTTACCTCGAGCGGTGAGGAGGGCGACAGGGCACTGAGGAGTTGTGCGATGATGTTGCAATCGAGGAACCACTGAAATTGACAAAAAACACATTTAAACCAAGTCACCGGGCCGCTCCTTGTCATTCTGGCCTTCAAATGCCAACAAGCCTCGTTAGACCTACTGTGACAAGGAAAACGTGATACGTGTCTTTCCCACGGAGCCGTCGACCTGGCAGACAGACAGACAGACAGGCGTGAAGTCAACCAGGATGAGACGCAAAAAAAATCGAAACGTACTTGAGCGACGGTGTGCTGCTGACCGTTGTCCTGCTGTGCCAGGTCGATGAGCAGGTCGCAAATCGCCGAGGTGCCGATGTGGCGCAGCAAATTCGGCAGAAAATCCGTCCGCTTTTGGAGGTAAGGCACAACCTAGGCGAGCCGAGTCGAAAACCACAAAAGCCATTAAGAGATTGCGCTATCGAAAGGCGTGATTCACAGCGAAATGTGACAGGAAGGGGGGGGGCGCTAACATTCGGGCGGCGAGACCCCGAGCAAAGAGTTTCTTAAGAGGCAGGACAAATGGGCGTTGAGTGAACCTGGTTTGGTTCTGGCAGTAACAACCGACCGCAAGCTTTTGGTCGACTAACCAACACTTTTGCATAAAAGATAGAGGGCGAAACAATGCCGTTGCCTATTACGCAGTTACCAGAAGCTGTTGCACGTTGTGGAGCCACGGCATCCAGGCCGATAGGACAACAAACCAGTCGTATAGGGGGTTAATGCGTTCGCGCATGTCCTGTGGCCTGCTCATCACACGTGCGCTGGACGGTGGACAGAAGACGTGAACTGGCATGGCCAATGTGGCGTGTGTGTGTGTGTGGGGGGGGCACGCCGGGAGCAGTATAACAGCCAAACTTGCGACCTGGGGAGATCTACTCGAGACTTTTGAAGAAGTCAGCGAGGCTTTCGGTCAGACTGGTAAACAAAGTGGACATTTGCATTGACGTGGCTAAGCAGCAATGCATGTGACGGTGGATTCCTGTTACCAGTTGTTCTAGTAACTGCTGCAGTTATCCTGTGTTTATGTGGCTGTGTGTTGAGATAAATACGCAGTTGCACTCATCGGTGCAATGGGGTATTAAAAGGTTTGTGGATGACGCCCAGAACTCAATGTCAAATCTACACCTGATTTTTTTTCTTAGGCAGGATGGGCTTATGCATAACTTCTCCAAACTAATCAATTATGGTAATTTTGTTTACAAGAAAGTGGATTAGATCGTTTTCCCCATTCAGAAGCAGGAGGAGACGTGCTGGTTATCGTGTCAATCAAGTTAGCTTACTCAGCGCAAAAGAGCTCAGTAATCAAGCTTGAATAGCATTTATACTTGCTCGGCTGTGAAAAGATTCCGCGAAGCTAACACGGATGTAGTCAGGGATTATGATTCTCCAGCGGCTGATACTCAGCTTAAGCGACCTGAATTAAAAACTGCTTTGGAAAAGCAAATGCTTACTTATGAAAAAAAGGAACAAAGAGAAGTGCTCTAGATCTGACCAAAAAAGTGAAAACTATTATTTCCACATGCTAGGATGTTCCTTCACGCGAAATGACCATACCTAGGCGTATGATTTAACCTGGAACTACAGTTGTTAATAAAACGAATGTAGATGCAAAACAATTAACAAGAGGTCCGCGAAGAGAAAGCCGGCTTATTTCTTGGGTATGAAGCATAAGTGGAACTTTGTAACATGGCAAAACATTAACTACGCAAAAGTAAAGTCACACACATACCTCATTGGCTCTGAAATAGAGGAGGTTTGTCATGATCTTGGAGAAAAAGCTAGCAGAAAGGGAATTAAGGGGCTGTGCAGTGTCAATAAAGTCAAGCAAACGGTCCACGCATGGCATGGAGAAGGGAGGATCGGACGAGCCGACGCAGTTGTCGACGTCAGTGGAGGCGGTGGCAGAGGCGTCGGTTTTTTCTGGTTTCTCTCCCGGAGAAATGATGAAATCTAGTAACGGCGGAACGTCACTAGACAGCAGTTCTGCAGCAACCGATGGTCGTCTACAAAAAAGAAAAGCTACTGCATGTCCTGAAAACTACTTCCTTGATAAGTGACGAGCAGTAAAGCCCAGTGATCAACCAAATGCCTTCTCGGCACAACAGAAGAAGAAATCTCAAGGGTTAGCTAATTACGACAGGAGGCTTTCTTTACACTAATGCTCAAAAACGTTCAAGGCAAGGAACTTTAATTAAAATAGCAACTTTATGCAAGAGTCACACCTTTCTAATCAGTTTATTGTCAACAATAAAACGCAACATGAACGCAGGAAGTCGCTGAATTAGCAGAATCTAGGCAAAGGATCGCTGCTTTTGGGCGTACATATACCTACATGACCTCGAAAATCTTATTTAACATGAGAGTTAAAAAGAGTAATGGAACAAAACACCTAACAGGGAGAACTGACTTACTTGAATCGCACTGCATCAAATGTGATATTGGACTGATCAGTCACCAGTTCTATAAGACGTGATATTCGATCCTCGCTTAAAAGACTACATGAATGCGCTAGACAATTAACATAATTTACTATTTTATAGCGTTTGTGCTTCGAGATACAACCCGCTGAACAACGTAATCGTCGTCCAGGAACTCCTCAAGAGTCGTTTCCTGTATTTAATAGAAGAATGGTAAATAGAGTTTACCTCTGTTATTTCGGGGGGTAGGGTAGCGTTTTCCCAGAACATATCTACTGAGGCGAAAAACAGACAAATCCCAGAATCTTCATGAGTTTCGCACCTCAAAGTGAGATTAGCCAATTAAAACGTAGAACATCGCCCTGGTTGCTAAACATCCTCTAATGCAAGAGGTCAATCCAAAGTTTAAAATTTCTGAATATTCTTAAAATCCTCATATTTCTAAGTTCCTTGCATTTTAATTTTCATGCGTAATGACATAAGTACATTGTAGAAAGTGTCTCAAGAACTTTCATGTGCATTGATAAGTTCTGGTCAATCTTTTTATTATAGGCGGCATTTCATTTTATAACACCAAGCTATACGATAAGCAAAACCAAATTTAGCAATATTGTGCTAATAAATGAATTTTTGGAGTTTTTAATAATGTGAGGGGATGCGCCACTAGCAAATATTATACAAAACCATTAAGTATGTTAATTATAATTCATATAATATTTCCAATTACTAAAGAGTTATTTAAATCTAGTGTTGATGCAGTTAAATAGTTTATTTCCAATTAATGGAATACAGAGTACAAAACCAAGCAGCGGATGATCTAAATTTTACTTTCCTCTCTTTTCCCGAAATAACAATTTGGTGGAAAAGTAGGCGGAAAAAACTGGAAATCGCCGAATTTGGTAAAAATCATCAGGCGTGAGACTCAGTCTCCTGCATTCTGAACTACTCAAATCCATTATCCTTTAGTTTTAAATGCCACAAATTCATGAAAAAAATTTTGCTGCATAATTCTACTTTGGAATTTTATTTCTGCATGATATAAAATTAGATTTTGTGAATTTTCATATTGTTAATGCGCTAAAATCTAACGGATTTTGTTCAGATTCTAAGCAATGATGATAGACAATCTCCTATGCTTTTTATCCATGTTATTAGAATGCCAGAACTTTGACTTAATTTAAACATTTGCTCATTATTGCGCAGTTTTTTTTTTTCAGTCCATTTCTGCTAATGTTTTTGCTATTATATTAGTACCAATGCTTATTGCTTTGCAGTTCTTAAAATTCATATATAAAGGCTGCGTACAGGTAATGGGAGATATTATGACTTTTAAAACGTGGAAATGCAGTAGAATCCGATGGTAACTCACATGCCTTGAACTTTTTAGTAAGACATACTTGTTTTGGTTGGCGTAACTTAAATTACAGTAACTGACTTCAAAATAGTCCTATAATGTAAAGTGCTTTTATAATTTGAACCACAAACTGCGCAAGCTGTAAGTAGTGACGAGACCGTCTCAAAAAATTCAATTTTACCGCGGTTTATTGTTTTGCCGCTTCTGGTGATTTCTTTTCACGCTTAGAAATCTAAAATCATCGCAACCTATGATACTAGGAGTACTTTTGGCAGGACTTGCAAAAACGGCATTAACATGTTAATAAAAATATCATAGTAAGCACTTGACGAGTAAAGTTTCTCTTTTAATGGACATAGACGTGATCTTAGCGTGAACAAAGAGGTTATGAATGCTGTGTTACCACCGCCCATTAAATAATCTGATGTGTCATTGTGAATAAATTTGAAAAATTGAAAAAACATGGCTAAGTTGGAATGTTATTAGTGTACAATATTTCTTGGTAGACCTACAGATGTGTACCGATATAGTTTTCCTGTTGATTGTTGGGAAAAAGGCTCATGAAAACTGCAAAAGTCTCTTAATATAGGTATTTGGTGCATAATAATTAAAAGCGTCAATATTTTAAGCGTTTAAGATCGCGGAATACCACTATCCTCAGACAGCCCTCGTGCATGCCTTTCCTGTGTTGGCAACAACCTAAACAATCTTCCACAAATGCCACGGAAGCCACAACAAAGTGTTTTACTTTTAGTTCTTACAAGCTATTGAGCCATATCTATATAAATATCTCATAATGCATAGTCACTTATATTGCTATCCACAGGATAAACAAATTTAACGCCAAAACGATGACGCTGATGAATGTGAACAAAACTCGTTTGAGAAAAAGCATTGCCAAATGCATTAACTAATCCTGTCAAAGTGACCTTAAATGTAAACTTAGATGACATCAGTCATCCAATTAAAATGAGCCTTTTCAAGGACAAGAGTTACACATATCCGGGGGTGATGTTATTGGCAGTTTCTGTTACGTCTGCCCGTGACAAAGAGAAGACCACTCAAATAACGGTACCAGATCCCTTGCTGAAAGCTAGAACCGACCTTCCCAGGCTAATACCAGAACATGACCAGAGCTCGTTTAGAGAGCTTTATTCACGTCAGTCACGTGTGAAGTGAGTTGTCAAATGTGAAACTAATTCAAGACAGGTTGACCTTGACTTGATAAAAAGTGTAGCAAAACAAATTTTAGTGAATTAATGTAAATAGCATCAGAAACCAATCTTGGGGAATGGTAGATCCCCAACAGTTTCATGCAAACCTTAGTGAGTGGAGGGGAAAATGGACTGAAATCGCATCGGTGAACAATTTTGTAATTGTAACTTGAACTCCATGGTAGGTAAGGTATGTGTAACGACATCGAAATCAAATGATTTGAAGCACCTGGAAACTAGGTGTTAGGAAAATCGGGTTACAAAGTTGCCTGACATTGATCCTCCGTGGAACATCTAGATGGAGAAGGCATTGTGCTCACTGCAGGTACGGTGGAGAAATGTTTTCTGGTTTGGACGCCAATGGATGTGGTGAGCAACCCCGATTAGTGCTTTGGTCGTGGATGAATCAAAGATGTCGCACATGTGCACGAGCTGTCATCAATCTTCCACAGAACAACCGCAGTCACGCACGTATTTGCACTCTTCAAGACACAGCACCCTGACCAGTGGCATCTGCAGCGAATTTGCAAATTGAGAGTCGATGGGATTTGGTCTCAGTGCCTAACATCAAGCAGTCAACTAATGGACTTTTAAAAATTCAGCCAATCAGCCTGCAAGGGCCACTGTGTGTGACTTCTCAAACACTTTAACAGAGCATCGAGATGAACGGCATTGGATTATTTCACGAAATATTGCATGATTATAAACCACAGGAAGCATTTAAAACATTTTTCGGGAACTCAGCACCTAATGTCGTCTATGCTGACGTAATTTCATCATTTAAACTGGAAAAATCTTACAAGGATTCCATCTGTCATCTCCGGTTAGATCTATTCATGATCTGCTGTATGATCTGAGAGGTCAACAAGAATTTTCGACATTGATCACGGCTTCGGAATATATCTTTATAACTTAAACTAGAAGAACGTTACAAGAACTTCAAGTTATTCAAATTCAAGTTGAAACCAAGCGTGCTTTCTTTGCATGGTCCTAGAATAGGGCATCAAAAAGCGGTGGCTATGTCAATTTCAACGTTGATTGCTCAAAAGCTAACGCGTGAAAACTGGTTTCAATTAATGGCTGTCACGACACTCGAACAATTCCTGAACAAAATCGCAATGGATTTGCAAGAGTGCAGACAGGCCAGGAGTTGTGTGATGTGGATGGTTGGATGTTATCCAAGGCATTAATACTTCGGCGCTGCGGTGTACACGTGAACGTCACTCTAAGCAACGCGAGGAATCCCGGTCACAACCAATCAGGACCTGAGTCAATACGACCTAGAGCGGCGATCTCACTAAAGTGTTCGACGCCAACATATTTAAGAGCGTCATTCAGAAAAACGATTAATATTCAGCTTTTAACTATTGCCTCGTCTTAAAATGAGGGTGACTTCCCAGCTTGTTTAGTCACCCAATTGGTGCCCATCAGAGTGGTAGGCTAGGTCAAGGTCAGTCGCGGGAAGCCAATGAAAATCGTCGCACGAAATGAGTTCTTGGGTCTGAGTGAGGAGCATTATGAGGTGACATTTTATGTGGCACATAAAGCGTTAAATCAACTGGCAAACATTTGCACGTTTAATCACTTTCCCTGGTTTCAATATGTGTGAAGAGTTTCGCCACTTTGTAAGGTGTTGGGATAAAATGTTGACCGATTTAAACTCGTGGAAACAATTTTTAGCAGCGCCTACTCCAAGGATGGGCGCACTACAGTCACGTGAATACCACCATTCGTAATTATCGATTATCCGGTCATATTGATTGCTGCGTATTGAAAAAAGATGAAGACTCGCGATATACGCTTCCGGATTGGCTCTGGTGTGTCAATAAATATGCATTCTTTTAAAATAACATTGTGTGTGAATGTGTTTATTTTGCCGATAACTGATGAGTAATGACGTGGCCTGTGTTAACTGTTGTGCGTTTCTGTCGTGGTGGGTCGTGTGCCTTCGCGTCCATCATCGCACTTGACGCGTCAACATGCACCGACATGTGCGCTTTGTTTCAGCAATCCGGTCACACACAGTCAATTGCGCAAACCCCTCACCCACGTTTGTGATTGGTCCGAGCGCATGACCTTGGATGCGCCATTGAAACCACTGAAGAGGGTGTGGCTCTCTGTCGCTCACAGCTGGTCATCCCGGCGTGATACAACCTGGTGTATTTGTTTTAATTGATTAAATTATTCTAATGCTTTTGTTTAAACCCTATCAAGGTCGCTTGCAGCCCAATCAAAAACAAAAGATTCGAATTCCCTGATAAAGTTTCTACAGAGCACACGCACACATGCATACACTTTTTTGCCATTCAGCATGAGTACTAAATAGTTCTCATGCTCCATGGTGCATCTTTCTTAACAACGCTTTCCGATCTCTATATTTACAAAGAAATTGATTTTAAAAGTTGACTTCTATTTAGCGTCTGTATGCTTAAATCAATTGTTTACAACCACTTCTGACATTGGCGAAAATGTTGATGAAAGAACCGTGGAGTAAAACAATTCTGATGGCGTCCAAAGCTTTCAGTGAAACTACGCTAAAATATCTACTGACATCAATTCAGTAGGGTAAGTAATAAATCATAAATACTGAACTTTTGACGATTCTTCCTATTTCCTGAAGCGCACACAGACTCGAGTACCAGGAGCACATTAAAAAAGTGGCAGACCACTGGCATCACCTGTAGTATCGGGCAGTTGCCCGCGTAAGAAAATTGAGAAATAAGTAAAACTGAGAAATAGGTAGTAACTTTGCAAATTCTTTTCCCAGTAATTTGGTAAACCAGAGAGGGCTGTTTTGTGTGGTTAATGTGAGTGTTACACAGGGCGTCGGGATTTATGCATTAGCCTTGAAGATCGCTCCGCGATGACGGCTTGAAGTTTCGGAATCGAGGTGGCCTTGTGGCTCATGCCTCTGGCATCGTCTTCGTCCGCGTCGAAGAGCACTCCAAGCCTCGCACTGGCCGAAACCGCAGACGTGCTCTCAGTCTGGGACAGCGCGTCCACCTGCAGTTTGCAGATCCTGTCCGGTGGGCCGGTGTCCGCGAAGGAGCCCAGAGACACCTCCTCTGTCTCGTCGCCCTCCATAGCCGCCCCACCGGTACCGTTTAAGCTGCTGATTTCCGGCGTGGAGCCTCCCGACATACCCTGGCGGGTCTGCTCCATTCTGATTGGTAGAGCTAACCCAAGGTCGGTCCGATGTAGCCAATCACAACAACTTAGGTCCACTTTACCTATCAACGGTTCAAGAGGTTGGTTGTACTGACGCAAACACGTCTCAGAATGCGGCCGCTTCTGTGGCTGATAGTCCAAGTTTGTTTGCTCCTCTAGACAACAAAAATTTCGATTAAAGTTCGATTTTTCGTAGGATTTAAATGTGTGGTGACAGGCGAGTGAACACGAATCAATCGATTTTCCTAAAAGTGCTTCACGTCGCCATATTCATCCAGAGATCGATATTAATCTATCCTAAATAAACTGACGACTTTTTACCTAGCACAACTACGCTCTAGTGCTCATTTGTTTGAATGAACCAAAAGAAGACTTTAAAACTTGTGTTTGGAACGAAAAGGCACTTACCGTCGGAGGTGAGTTTGAGGAACACGTCGAGCACACACTGGTTCTCCTTGTCGACTAGCTCCACCGGCTCACCCGTCCACGTCGCCTTGTCAACAAGACTCACTTTTGGTGGCCTGTGGCTGCGTCTGGAGATCTCCGCGCCCATCGCCCTATGCCCACCTCAAACACGCTGTGCTTTCTCGTCCCGCGAAGGATCAGCCTCTCGGCTTATGCTAATGCGATTTCTTGTTTGGCGTCCGTTACCACTGGCAACCACGGTTGTGCACATATAAATTCGCTAGGCTGCAAATATGCCTTTCATCGCCACCTAGGTTTTCGTAAATCACCATGAAATGAGTATATTATTCTAGGCAACATGTGTGGATGTGTTAGGTTTAGTGTCGCTGACACAAATGGGACATCATTTGAGGTCGAATAAGGCTTTCGCAAAACCACCCAGACACTTACATTATCAAATGGGTCGCTCGTCTGGCCACTATGATTTTTACGACTTTTGTAATACGCCAAAACAAGATTTAACAAGCTGCTATTGGTCTAGCCACAATTGGATGATTCGTTTGTGGCTGCTGAAGTGAACCCGGTTGGCAGACACTTGTTCTCTAACAATGTGAATGTGTGCAGTGTCCAAATGCTGAAGCGAAAAAGTGTTATCCTAAATGCTATTGAAATATTGACAGAACATATGAACGTAAAAGGTTAGGGAGGGAAATTAGGTTTATGTAAATACATAGTCAATAAATTTTTGTGAATTTAGATAATGAAGATGGAGACCGTTCTCATTGTTGATCGTGGAGGCAAAAATCGATAACTGATAGTGGTAGAACTGGTTTGAATTAATGACGCTCTGAATTCGAGCAGAACTATCGGGTTCAATATTACATCTACTAATGATAGTTAGTAGTGTGACGCTTGTTAAAATCAAAAATCAATCTTGACATCGGATTTTGAGTGAGCTAAGTAGGTATCTGAAAGAAGAGTCGCTAATTAATTTTTGAAAGTTGAACTGCTAGTGCAATTGGCAGGCATGGCAGTATTTGTTGCCAGTGTATGACAAAATAACTACTGAATGAAAGAGATTATTTGGTAGACATCGTTCTGCCTGAACCATGACCGACCAGAAAAAAACCAAATCGAATAATTTTTTTCAAAATTTATTTAATGACAAGTCTCATGTGCTATGAATTGGAGCATTCAGTGTTTGATGCAAAAAGACGGAACATTTAAGTCAACACACCAAAGGTCACTTTTTGTGCAATTCAGCTCATATTGGCCGGTAAATCCAACATGATTTTGATGGATCTCAGGGTTTCCTGAATTTCAAAATAAAACGACATTAGATTCCTTTCAAAAAAATTTTAAAAAATATTTTTGATGTTGAAATAATTTGTGGGTGTATTAAAATTTGATATCTATTCGCCAATGAAATATCATTTAAGAGGATAGAAACTGTTAATGAATAGTTTGTTGCAACATTTGCAGACATTTTAACCAGCTAAAGCATTGTTTAATAAATTTTAATTAACAAGCAAGATGTGCTTTATGGTTAATATCAGAAAATGCAAGAAAAGCTCAAAAAATAAATTGCAACTCACGAAATATCGACAGCTTACAATTACCGAACATGGTGAGAATAAAGTGATCAGCAATTCGCAGGTTTGATGATATTTGACACGAACATACTTTACCGAATTTCGTCAATGTAAGCACGTACGAATTCAAAACCACTGCAGCACCATTTCAAACTTAAAAATATCTACCTGAAAAGCTTATTCCTCATCAAATTTCCTATCAATTCCAGGAGAAATGGGTTTTTAAATTATAGTTATACCTCAGCCCATTCGTATGTATCCAATTAATAGGAAAAATCGAAAACTTGTGGCACAACTTAGTAACAAATGGATCTCGAACTTGGCAGATGAGAGTTTTTTTGAAGGTTTAACCATGACTGGTCTAGAAGACATATGGAGTAAATGTTTATTATATCGAATTTAACATGTCAGGCATGAACCACATGAATAGTCCAAAATGACACACAAATGTGCATTAAGATAATGGCCAAAAATCGTACTTAAAGATCGGGTTCATTTAAGTGATTTGTGAAAAATTTCAAGCAAATGCAATTTGCGCCCGAAATGTCCAATAAAATTTCTAACAACTTTATGTTCATCGTAATCTTAGCTGCTTCGCTTTTTGCTTGGAATATATTAAGCACAATTATTTAAGAACTACGGTGCCGAATACGCCCTATTAAGCCTCAGCCTGCCGACAGGGAGTTTTTAATGTAATTTCTAATTTCATCCTCCGAACATTCCGATTCTATATATAGTGGGTTTAAAAATATGTTCTGTTGAACAATGTTTCATATAAAATGTCAACAAAATCATACAGAACAAATAAAAAAAACAAAAAAACTATTTTACCTTGCCAATATTTTTGACTTACACGTACACAGATAAACAAATATAATATTTAATGCCTAAGCATTTTTGTGTTTATATAATAATATTGCAAACTTATTTTGTAGTGAGTGCTCTGTGTTAATCTGCACCTTACCAATCCCGCATTTTTAAAAGCAGGGGGCGTCATTTTAATAAATGCGGGAATAAATGTTCAACTTGCCCTTTATACTTTAATGGGAATTGTAACATGCCAGGATCTTTGAAGTCGGCCCACTCTACAAAACGAATTATTGATAAATACAACCTCAGCAAGAGTTATGCGGATCTGTCGACCCATTTTGACGAGGAATCGGCACAGAAAGATTTTTCTGCTTTGGATTATTTCGGATTTTATCAGTAAGATACTTGCCTATTTCATTATGATTATGACAGTACTAATATTTGCGTATTTTGGACGCTGGTTTATCTAAACCGGATAATAGTGTTTCGAAATATCTTTTCGTGCAATCCAGCAATAGAACGGGTTTTCCCAATTGTTAAATGCTTGTTAATATTTTTTAACCAAATACCGCAGTTGCTATCTATATTTTGTTGGTAAATTCTGTTTATATCTCTGTGAAATAGCATATTTCAAAACAACGCACGATTCATCGTACTTATTATTTAGGATTTCTTACCTTTACCAACAGCAATTACGGTATCAAAAATTAAACCGAAATGTGTATTTTTGGTACCTATGCTTCAGTCCTTACTTGATTCCGCGTGTATTTCTCGTTACCTCCTTTAATTGTGTATATTATGTTGCATACGTCATGAATGCATTGAGATGTATAACGCCGACCTAGTTGAAATCCATGATCCTACCAGTTTCATTATTTGTTCTTTAGTCCCGATGGCCTTACAGACAGAGACAAGGAAGCTGAACACAAGGTATGTTCAATTTCATCAAAAACCGGTTATTTTTCCTTGACTGAATCTTCTATACCGTTATTCCTTTACAACAGGGACTTAACTTAGTCTGATTATAGGTAATTGTAATTAGTTGACGTTTTATCGTCTTGAGAACTTTGCAAACTGCAAAATGCTTTGAAATCTGATGTTGGTATAATTTTCACTGAGTCTAAGTAGAGCCCAACTCCAATGTTCGTAATCTGTTTTCAATTGATTTAATTCTCAAACTCTTTGGCTCCTATTTACCTCGATTTACTCTTTGATATGATTTTTTCTGGTCCGTCAAATTTTGGATAATCTATTTTTTATCAGTAATGGTAATTTCTGAAAAAATGGCTGTCTTTTCCACCTGATGAGCACATCGCAACGCTCAGCACGAAATTACTGCAATGTGTTAAGTAAACTTCTTCCTTATGAGTTTATTGCTTTTAGGTAGCCCTAAGTTATTTTGCTTGATGCAAAATGATTCATTTATGACTTTGAGTTGGTTTTCATCAAATTCAATATGTCGACCGATGCGTCTGTCAATCATAAGTGGAAATTTCCAAAACGGAACTTTTAAATCAATCAGTTTTTTGCCTTGGATGCAGCGATGATGTTGACAAGTCGCCTTCAAAACAAACATGACGCTGCTTGTTTTGTAAAAAACCCAATTACCGCAGTGCCAAATAGCTGGAGGTGTCTTCTAATGGGCGTCGTATTTTTTTTGTCCTAGACCATAATTCTAGGCACCTGCTGGAAATGCACAAAGTGATCTCATTAATCAGTAAAAAAGCCAATTCATGGTGCGGTTTCCGTGTTTTTTTGACAAATTAAATCAAATGACTAAGTTAAGTGCTGTACTGTGTGGAGAAAATTACGCTTTAACGACCAAATGAAGGCAACGCCTAATTCCTCACCGATGTTTCATGATAGCGTTACATGTAATGCGCAAGGTGGATTCGTTCAGATGTTACAGTTACGCCACAATTCCCTCTAATAGTGCGTAAATGGCAATTACGTCGGTGAGAAGGAGGTGTGTAAAGGCTTTGTGTGTGTGTTTAAACGTGTGTGTGTGGTGAAAGTTATTTTGATGCGTGAGTTATAGACACAGCTAGGTGGTTTGAAAATCCGGTTTTGGATGATGAATAGAGAGGGGGTTTTCTTTGAAATTTTGAGGAAATAAAAGTCCACCACATCTCCCCTCCACATTGCTAACTCACTCGTTACACGATTAGCTTTAATTTCTAAGGCAAACTTTTAATAAACTACCAACGGGGTTAAAAACTGGACCAAATACCCCACGAATCCTCGTGTTGATTGGTCGTTGCCATGGGCATTGGTGAGTTTAAACCGCGCGTGTGCGTGCGTGCGTGCGTGGTCACTGTCCGTGCGTACATTCGCCTCCTCCTCCTCCTCCTAATAACCGACCAATCCCCTACCGCTAGAGTCGTCAAGATGAACCAACCAAAAAAGTCACAACCTGTTGGCCGGTAAGACTTCCCCCCTGCCTCCCGTTTTGCATGGAACCGCATAAACCTCACCGTCATTCCGCATGTCGGCTCATCGAAGTCGCCTCCAGTCCGCGCCAGTCATCGTGTTCCCGCCGGCCCCCACCCCCACCCGTTGTCGTTGTGTAGTGTAGACGACGGTTTCTTTGTTCTACTGGGTTTAGTTTGTTCTCCCTCCCTCTCTCCCTTTCTTTTCTTGCAAACTCATTCAATCCGATTCTCTCCGCCTGTCTTCTCACACCCCGTCTCCTTGTAGTACCGAAAGAAAGACGTCAAGCGTGTGGACAAGTGGCTCAAATTCATCCAGTCCAACGGATTCGCGTCGTTTTACAAAGGACGACCCAACGAGGAGGTAGGCAGGGCAATCCGCCATTGTGGTGTTGTTCCAGATGGTTGAAAGCGACCTAGCAAGTGTAGACCGATGACATTTTTGCTAACCACAATCCTGTGTGTGTTGATGACCATGTCAACTCAGCAAACGAAATTCAATACACTTGGTGCTCAAGAACACTGCTACTAATGCCTGGTAAAATCATTCGTGAAATAGCTAGATTACATCGTACGTAGGCGTAGTGGTAGCCATCACACCGCTGAATGAGGCTCCACCACCGCCACCACCACTCTTTGTTTACCAACCTCTCGCTGTTGTTAATTCCGTCTGTTTGTTTCTTTTCCCTTCCCTGCTCCGCACAGCTCATTCGACGCGTCTTCAAGGGCATCCCTCCGCGTATTCGGACACGAGTCTGGCCGACCCTTCTCAACGTCGAATCCGCAAAACGGGCCAGGGTCTACGAGGTGCGATTTTGTTTGCGTTTTTTTTGTCTGTAGTCGGTGACGCCGCCACCTGCTACACCACCACCACGACCTCCACCGCTACCACTGCCTCAGCTTTTGTTCACACTCGTGTACCAATGTCAGGACTTGAAGGCAACCAGGTTTAAACACCATCTGCTGCCCATCCTCTTCATCGGTTACGCCTTTTTGCGTCTGCCACTAGTAATTAAATGCAAAGTTCGTGTCGAGGGTATGCTAATTTTCAGTTTTATCGACGCACGAGTCAACCAGTGATGTGTGTGTGTAAGAAGCTCTACATTTAGTGTAGTGCTTTTACGCCTATGAAGAGTCGGGAGTCGGTCCGGCGTCGTTGCGTCACCTCCAAACCTATCACCGATTGGTTGTTTGCTTGGCCTTGGGTCTATTCGACTCCCCACTGGTCCGTTACATCCCAAGGCCGAATTGTCGTCGAAACTGATGACTAAAGAGTGGTGAGGGTGATGAATTTGCGACAGAGGCGCTATCACACCCATCCACTGGAACACAGCTCTCACACGCACCTGGCAGCGCCTACATGCGTCACGTGGTCAAGGAACTTGCCACGTGACTTTCCGACTGCCTCCTAACCACGTGACAGCCCCACTTGATGCTTTTCGCGCACACACCCACACACAATTTTATCCGCAGATCAGAAAACGCCACTCTTACTTCGCCTTCTGATTCGGTTTCCTGTTTGTGTGTGTGAGAATGTGGCCCTCATCTCATTGGTAGAATGCCTCCCAGCTTCATTCGTGCTATTGGACAGCGCGCACCAGCCAATAGAATACCTCCACAATGAGCTGTGAGGTTGAGCTGATTGATCTAGTGTGTGTAGTTTTGCGCACATGTGGTAGTTGTACTTTGGTACCGTCCTTGTGTAATTCACACCACCCTAATGGTAGGCTACAGGTAAACCAGAGCTGCTTTGTGATGCGTTTGACGTAGTCCTTCGATAGCGTGTATGTGTGGAGCTGTGGCGACGTACCTGACCACTTCTCAACCTGCATGTCCGTCAAACCGACTGTTCACTTTTCTTATTTCATCAGTGTCGCAAACGGGAATTTGGAGTAACAACGCGCATTTCTCTTGAATTGTGTAGTTACTGCTTGGGGCACCCATTCAACGGTGTGTTCTAGTTTTCGCTTCCGTTCAAATCGGTAAGCGCACGGATCCAGACAGCTGATTGGTTAATTTGTGCCCAGCGCCAGGATTGTTGTCTGCATCTTCAACTAAATTGGTCAGCTTCAGGGTCGGCTTTCATGGTGTGGGCGTTTCAGTAGGTCGACACCTGCCAGGCTGTGAAATCCCGAACGTGTCCAGCGTCGGTGGCGACGCCGAGGCGACAACGCGACATGGACGCGGGTTTTTCGCAACTACGCATCTCTCTCTCTCTCTCTCGCTCATTGTCGCTCACCCGCCTGCGTACAAATAAATCATGCGTGGCTTGTGCGCGAGCACTCATGCCACTCTGTGGCCATAGTAACCACAGCAGCGACTGCAGCAGCAGTAGGTGCTTCTATCTAGCCGTTAGGGTGCCTCGACTGAGTGACAGGATGACATGCGAGGTGGTGATCGTGGGAGATACTCGACTTCTCAGTTGACTCATTACGCTCATGAGTAAATTAATAACGCGCACGCACGCACGCATGCACGCGTGTGTGTGATCACTTGGCATGCTTGAGCCTGAGTGTGTGTGTGTGTGTGTGCGCCGGTTTGACTTGCAGCTGTTTGTTGTGTCATCAACGCCAGTGAGAAATCGACCAGTTCCAACGGCCCAGCTCCTGTCTGAATCCAATTGGCTGTCCACTTGGCGGGGGAGGCTTTTGATTGGTTGAAGTGTCAAAATCGCTACACTTGCTCCTCTCCTGGTGTAGAGGGTGTTTGGAATCCCCCAAAAATAACCAGTTGTAAAAAGTAACGTACTTTTCGTGTGCACCTTCTCGTTTCCTTCCAGTTCCGTAACAAAACACGTTGCTTGATGCCGAATCGGGACCTAATGCATGCAATCGTCAATAGGTTTTCACTAAACAACCAATTCTATCGCCAATTAAATAAATCTGACCTTGATTCGACAGCCCTCAATGGTTCATTTTGCGTGTGCTTCTTTGAAGTAGCCAATCAGAGCTGACTGTTTGGTGTTTTTTTGTGCTGCATTACAGGATATGCGGAAGTACGCCTTCGCGTCGTCCACTTACATCGAGCAAATTGACCTCGACATAAACCGCACCTTCCGCTCGACGACCTTCTTCAACGAGGCGTTCGGCCCGCGTCAACAGGTGCTCTTTCGAATCCTCGCCGCGTACTCTATGTACAACACCGAGGTTGGATATTGCCAGGTTCGTGAGGCTCAACGAGAGCCAATCAGAGCTGTCCAAACGCTCAAAATCGATATGATTGGCGATTTACCAATGAGATTCAGCGTTGGTCTAACCTGAAGGCTTTGACCTAGAAGTAACCTTTGTGAAAATTTGACCTGAAAACCGTTTGACATTTGACGGATTAATTCGTCATCTGATTGGATGGAGTTGCTAGCCGGAATGTGCTAACCTACCGTTCGCCGATTTCGCATTCAAATTACTTCCTGTTTCAATTTGATACTTTCAAATTGGGCCGTTTTAAGTGGGCAAAGTGCAGCAGCCAATCAGATGGTAGTGTAAGTTCAGACAATAATGTGATTGGTTCATGCACCGAATTTGCCGTCAGCGACTAACTTTTGGCAAATTTAATTGTTTTTGAATGCGTGGCTGGACTTTACAGAAGTCTCATGTGATGCAATTGTCGTGTCTGGTGTAGACACGCTTTTTACAATCATTCCCCAACCAGAACTGACTTTTTTACAGTTGCCATAAAGGTAACTAATCACTGCGTGCAATCGCTTCCTCATTGGTTGCCAAGATGTAACATTTCCGCGCACACCTGACCTGGTTTTTATCTGCTACACTTAAGGTTACAACTCCACCTTGTGCTTAATCTTGACAATCTCACGAACACCGCAGTCACTCATTGTCAGTCCGTTGTAGCTTCTTCTGTCGTAATTTTTTACCTTGAAGTGGTTCAAAAAGACCACCGGCTACCCCCGTATGTTTGTCCAGTGTTCTCCAGTTGGTGCGATTTATTGATCTTGGCGGTTACGCTTTGTTTATCAGAGGAAGCCATCTTTGACCTAGTCTCTGATGACTGTGGTACAATTCGGCTGATTCTAGCCCAGCAAAGATTACTGGTAAAAGCGGAAATCTGATTGGTTAGTTGCTGCTTGATAAAGGCCCGATTCTGATTGGTTGGCTGCTGTTTGGTAAAGGTGGAAATCTGACTGGGTGGTTGCTGCTTGGTAAATGTCGAAGTCTGATTGGTTGGTTGGTAGCTGCTTGATCCTACCTCCACCAATCGGCGTTGTAGGGCATGAGTGACATCGCGGGGATGCTGTTGATCTACATAATGGACGAGGAGGACGCGTTCTGGGCGCTGGCCCAACTGCTCACTGGACCGCGTCACAAGATGCACTGCCTCTTCACCCGCAACTTCCCCGGTCTGAGGCGTTACTTCAAGCACCACGACCGCGTCCTCCGCACCCACCTTCGCAAGGTGTGGAAGCACTTCGAGGCACACGAGGTCGAGTGCTCCACGTACGCCTTCAAGTGGTACATGCAGTGCTTCCTTGGCAGAGTGAGTTGTTCACCTCTGCTACTTAAATACACTTCAGTAGGCGTTGTTTTTTAAAGTTTTATGTCTTCCCATCTTTAGTTGCCCATCTCCTTGACTCTTCGTGTGTGGGATATTTACCTATTGGAGGGCGAGAAGGCTCTCGTTGCCATGTCCTATAACATCCTCAAAATGCACAAACGTACGTTTCCAACGCTCTTTCTCTATTGGCTTGTACTCTACTTGAAATCACGTGGTTTGTTATTTCGCCATTCCGAAGACAATCAGTATTATCGGCCTCCTAATTGTGTTTAAACTTGTGCTTTATCACAGAGCGACTCTTACGGATGGATCAGATACAGATACTCACGTTTTTGCAAGACGAGATCTGCCGTGACTTCGGATTTGACGACGATGACGTCATCGACTCGTTGAAGGACTGCTTGGAGGAACTGCGACGGGCTAATCTTGACACCCCTCCTCCTCTCAGTGAGTTGTCGATTTCATTGCTACTTAAATCATGTCAGTAGGAATATTTTGCGTATCTGAAAAACGGTGTTTACGTGTTGTCTTGCAGCCGCTGACATGTTGCCGACGAAGGAGTTAGGTCAGGCACCTGAGATATGGGAGGTGCGTCACTCCGACGACGAGACTTCGAAGAAGCCGAAGGACAAGCGTAACCAACATCGTCGAAAGTCGAAGAAGGAGGAAGAGGTGGGTGAGGAGGAACAGAAAGTGGAGATGCAAGACAAGTCACACCCTGCCAAAGACGTGGTTCTGCGGTCGGACGCGAAGACGACGAAGGAGGCGGACAAAGTCGTGACGACGACGGTGGACGATAAGCCTGGCACCATCGATCGACACGCTTCTGTCTCTAGCCACAAAGTAATGATTTTTGTGCCAACCCTGATGCTTGTTTGGTTTGTATTGGCATCTGAAATACGTTGGACTGTCCCCTTTAAAGCACAACTCCCTCACGTCGGAAGGTCCGCCGTCCTCCGACTCACGCCGACGTTTCCGCGGAAGTCAGCATTCGGTCGGTTCGTCCGTGTTCAGCGTCTCCGGTTCGTCAAAGGGCGTCGTCTCGCCCCACGACAATCTCATTCCCCCTCTCCTCCCCCCTCCCGATCACCACAAGTCATCCCATGTGGATTCTAATGTATGTGTACTGAAATGCATTTAAGTAGCTTGTTTATTATAGTTTGGTGGCATACCATGTCCGCTTCATTTGCAGTCATTGAACAATCGCGTTACAGACAAACGTCGCGCTGACTCCGCTCCTCGCGTTGCCAGCAGGTCTAAAGTCACGCTTGACAGGGGTGGGAGCAGGGTCAAAGCATCGTCGGCGAAGCGCGTGGAGCAGAAGGAGACCGAGAACGTCTGGTTTATCCCGCCTGGAACTGGCTACGCGTCTTCCACTGAAGGTCGGCGACATCGTCAGGTGAATTACACCGACGCCACCCTCCCTCCTCGCGACTACCACAACGCGACCGCAGGCGGCAAAAAGGCCCCCAGGGGTAGTTTCTCTAAACGCACTACTTGTAAGAAATAAGTAGCCATGGCAATTCATCATGGATTCCTTGTTACAGACGGTGAAGTGAATTCGCCGTGGAAACCGAATGACCACCGCAAACCTCCGCACGCCTCCAGAGTCAGTCCTGTCAAGGACTTGAAGAACGACAAAGTACACCCCGTGGGGATATCGGAAAGCGTCATCGAGGTTGTCTGGAGTCCCGACCCCACCGTCCCTGCCACCCCAGGCTCACCTCTCTGGGAGAAACAGCCGCCAGAGGCCGCACCTTCGTCTCCCTCGCACCGGTCGGATAATCAAGACACCGTTCGGGTCTACGTAGGTCAAATACGATGCTTTAAAATTGCTACTCAAGCGTTTTAAGTACCATAGACTTGAGTCAGTTTCCTGCCGATTACTCAGTCTGATTACGTGTACGCTGCCTTTTCATCTGCCTCCATTACGCTTTCCCATGCTACTTGTTTTTTGATTGTAGTATGCGCGTTTCTAAGTGAGTGCTTCTTATCGATTTTAATGCCACACATTTGTTACTCGTTCATCTGTGCCTCCACTAATCCCGTTCAGCGTTTTTCATAACGCCCTGTTGCTTTGGCCTAATCAACACGCACTCAGCACCGTTTGTCAAAATCAGCTCGAATTTGCCGCCGTTTGTTTGAAGTTTGCTTAAACACGTGACCTTCGGACGCACATTTCGGCCAATTCTGACTCCAAGACGCGCTGATGCGAGCCGCAGTGGGGTTTGAAACACGCCTTTTGCTCCTCCCGTTGCTAGCGCGCACTCACATCTCCCCACGTGCCGCCAATCGCTCAGCTCATTGCATAGCCCAGTGTTTTAAATCCAGCGCTTTTCGCAATAACCAATGGGGAACTTCTCTGTTAGCCGGAACCAATCAAAACCGGTACAGAGCATTGACCCTACTTCGTGTTTGTGCTCACATCCTTGAATGTGTGTGTGCCCAGTTTTGCAAATTAACGAACCTTGCACATTACCCTTCTACCTCTAATTTCCTCCTAACAGAGGTCTCTACATCTTGTGAATTTTGTTTGAATACGTATCGTCATCCCGACCGCGTTGTTTGAATGTGTGTGTTCATTTTTATAGTTTTCCGCATGTTGAATTTTCCCGGCATTAGTGAGTTGCTTGTGTTTATATTGGAGTTTTATGTGGCAGAAGTTGAAAATCGACCAATCAGAACCGCGTCAGCTGGCCGTTATGCGATTGGTTTGTTTTTAGTGGGCTAAAATTCGTTATTTTAGTGAAATGCAGCTTAGTTTGCCTCTTCACACGTTCATCTTGTGTTTATATCGGGGGTTTTATGCAATTGTGTGTGACACAAGTTGAAAATCGACCAATCAGAACGGCGTCAGCTGGCCGTTATGCGATTGGTTTGTTTGTACCTAGTCTCTTCATACGTTCATCTTCCAAATATAGCCAATCCACTCGTGCCGTCCCTCAACCATCGCCTATTTCCGCGCCTACGACTCTCGACTGGCCTCGAGGACATTCAGCAGTGGTGTCGCGCGCCTCCGACCCACAGCCTTCCACTCCGCCACGCACACGGACGTCGCAAGCGCGACCAGCTGGAGCTACTTCGGCACCGCCTGCGTCCTCCCGCCGACTGGGGCGGACCACGCCTTACCCGAGTGCAGTCCAACCCTCTACCAATCGAATTCGCAGTGGAGCAACCCCTAAACAGCCCCACAGCACATCTCGCGTCGTGTATATTACTTATTTCTCCCTCTCGCATTACTATTTTGACTTGGTTAAGCCCTGGCCCCTACCCCCAGTCTGTGGTGATGTAACTGTTCAGTCTTTTATCACTTGTAGTTCAACAGATAGATTCAGTTTTGTGGGTTTGAGTGAATAGATCAAGTCTTTCAAAGGAATTATTCACTTTATTTGGGCAAAATTTCGTTGGTCAACTATTTGCTACTTAACAACTTCCAGTAGAATGAATTGCGTAAAATTCATCTGAAGAGGAAATAGAAATAAATGCCGCAGAAGGTAAGTAAGTTGGAAGGAGAGCTGGCTGAGAACCTAAGAATAGTCGGTGTTTAACGAGGGGGGTGCAGCACGCCAATCAAGCCTTGTTCGGTCATTGGTAGCGTAAGCCTGTAAAGATCTACACTCTGATTGGTCGTGTCCATTTGTACGTTCTCATTGGTCACATGCTTCGGTCGCTCTCTGATTGGTCGCGTTTCTCCTGGTGTTCTGATTTGTCAATCTTGTCCAAGAGTATTGCACCCTGCTTGTAGGTGGTGCTTAGCATGTCACCGATGACTGACATTTGTGCCTTGTAACCCTGGGAAACTAAGATCTCTCGAATTTATGCTCGAACTATGTGGACTTATTTTGTTCTCGTCTTTCTTCTGTGGGATGTTGATGCGGACGAACTAACTTACCAGATGACAGCGGGTAACTATCCTCCCAACGTCGACGAGATCTACGGTGATTGGTCCGAATGGAGCCAATGCGAACGTACGCAGTGTATTGAGAGACGAATTCGGGAGTGTCGGGAGAGCAGCTTCGTTAAACCAATAAGAAATTCACTGTTATATTCAACCTGTCCATACCAATTCATCGTGGAGTACCGGAGGTGTATTGATCCGTCGCTGTGCTTGTTTAGTGGTATGTTTTGGTCAGATGAATCGTCTGTAAACGTCTCAACAAATAGAAAAGTATTTTTCTTTGTCCTGATTGGTTAGGATATCGGCAAATCAGCCTAAATTTTAAATGATGTCAACCAGGCAAACTTTCAATAAATCGAAATTAAATCAAATTACTAATTTATTATTATACGTCATAAGATCACAGACTCAATCACATAAGTACAAGGTAGTTTAAACGTGCTATTTTAGCAACTGTTGTTGATGATAGCGTTGATAGGCCGTGCCAGGCTTCACTTCGACCAATGAGAAATCGAAGTGACCGTAAATCACGCTTTCGGCGCCTGTTCGAAATTGCAATGAGCACTTGGGTCATTTTTTGCATCCCTTTCAGATACATCGTCCATAATAAATACATTCGCAGACACCTGCGGCATCCGCTACGCCTTGCCACCGCAAACCATGACGAAAATATTCGGTGGCCAAACCTCTACACCACACTCCTGGCCATGGGTGGTGAGTTGGTACAATTTTCTTCCGCCTAGGTGACATTTTGTCGAGAAATGGCAACATTTTTGCTGAAACGATTTAAAGCTGATGTAAGAGAGGCTTTCTGAAGGGATGTGTATTTCATGTGGTTTGCTAGCAACCTATGTGGACCGAATTTTCGTGGATGCTCTATCAGGTAGATATCTGTTCGACGCCTTTACTCACTTGAGTGTCGTAAAGCGAAATCATGCTTGCACAACAAAATTATTATTCATGGGGTCCGAAAGTCCTGTCACGTATCTGCTTATCGAAAAGGTCCACGTGATCTTTAGATCAAGACGCTCTAGTCACCATTCAGGATACAGCACTATTCAAAAGACGTTATTATGAATTCACGATGAAATGTTGATTCATGGAATCCGAAAATCTGTAAGCATTTCAGATGGCAGAACGAGTCCACGTGATTCGTAGGCCCAGACATGCTGTTCACAAATCAGGATTCATATTTAAATTTCCAATTCCCTCAGTCTGTGATTGGTCAATTGTGATGGCTCATACATCAAGGCAGTGCTTTGATTGGTGAATTCCAAACTGTCACGCATGATGGGTCAGAAGTAACCAGGGGGCGCTGTTATGGCTTCAACGCATCCAGAAAAGAGTAGTGGGACCAATGGCCATCGAGCCTCAAGCGCTGATTGATTTGTTTTGGTGGATTGTGCTCGTTCTTGGTTATTTCTGGATTCCTAACCATGGTTTCTTGTCGTATTAATTAGTAAATTTGAGTTTAGCTACAAGCGGATGTGTTTATGATCCGAGATTGACGAGGTTTGCCACAATCCCGCGAATTCCACGCATGAATGACCCTGAGATCAGACCAATCGAAGCATTTAGGTGCAAACTCTGAAATGCATGGCGCCAAATATTTCTCTGCTGTGCTTCAGGCCGGTCTCTACTTCGACGCGGTGTGGATGCGTAAGCACAGACGCGTGGAGCACCCGTTCTGCGGCGCGTCGCTGGTTGCACCGCGGCATCTGGTGACCGCGGCGCACTGCATCTCCAACCTCTCCGCCCAGTTCCCTCTTGGCAGACCCTTCCGCTTCGCCGACTTTTTGCCCTTCAGCATCAAGGCGCGCCTTGGCGACCACAGCCGCGTGCGACACGAGCCGTGGCAAGTCGACATCCCCGTTGAAACCGCCACCATTCACGAACGCTACCGGCCAGACAAACCACACTACGGCTACGATGTCGCCATTCTGACCCTGGCAAACAGTCCATACTTGTGTAAGTGACACTTGGGCGTTGTTAGCGCAAAGCCCTCATCCACCATTCAGTCTGAGCAGGATAACTTTGACCGTTTTCATTGTTGAAAGTTCCTTGTTGCTCGATGACGGTTGTTTAAGCGCTTACACGCCTTTCCTCTGTACCCTGCTAAATTGGTTCAAACTAGGTTGCATCTCAGAATTTTGTCTTTTCGAAATCAGAAGGCACTTTTGACTTCAATTGTGCGCAAAATGGCACTTAATCTGTTCAAACAAGCACCCGCAAGTTATGAAATAAACTTTGGTTCAAGGACCCTAAAGAATGGTAGAATTTGCGGCACGTTCGAATGGCTATTTTAAAATTTTGGCAAAAAACGACGATGCAACTCAGTCCTATCGATTTCGACTGAACCAATGTCTTTTCGTTGTCCTATCGCAACAAATTTCTACCCAAACAACGCAAATCAACTTGATACAACAATCGTGAGCTGAAATAACCGGTTGGATTGCCTAACCCACGCCCGCCAGGTTGCCGAAATTTGTAAATAAAATGCTTATTTCAGTGTGGTTGTTTACGGCAGCAAGACTACTGAAAATGGTCGATCGCTCTCGACACGAAATCACATCTGGCGCCAGGACAAATCGAGGCAAGCTTGTTTAAATGCAGCCGTGCATTTAAAACAAGCAAAAGTTTCGATTTTCCACCCAGTGGACGTCTGCGCTGTTGTTGAAGCAGTTCTCATCGCAGAAACCAAGTCCCACCATGTGACGGATGCTTTTTATAGTGCAACTGCAGCGAATGTGCGTCATGATGTTTAATTTCAGTTGCAGAACAAGAAAAAAAAAAACAACTTTTTCGCGCTCGTCAGTGGATACCGTATGCGTGTTTAGGTGAAGACCGCAATAAGAGACTGGCGTGAGAAAACCGTACTTTAGTGGCCTGGATTGTTAGTCAGTTGGATGACAATGACAATGATTTTCACGATTGAACCCGACCGAAATTGTTAAGTTTTTTCCCGTTTTAACACAGTTTGTGGGTCGCTACAAATTTCGTGGTTTTTGTTTGGGTTTAATCAAAGCACAAACATCTAATAAGACACGTCAGATTGCCTCAAAACCCTCCAAAGTGCACGAGGCGGGTGTTTTGCGTTTAGCTCAAGCGATCTACCCTGTTTGCGTGCCGACGTTTAACACTGAATTGCCCCAAGGAACCAAGTGCTACGCGGCTGGCTGGGGGAACACGCGGCCCGTCGTCAAGAAGAAGGGGTCTCGCACGGCGAGGAGCAACCCCCTGAACCTGCTCGAGGTCGATCTTCGTCTGGCGTCGTTCGCGAAATGCAGCTTATACATCAATCGATTAATCAAAGGTGTCCACATCTGTGCTGGGGAGCCGGGCAAGGTGAGTTGAATTTTGTTTTAATACATAGAGAAATCGAAGTACATCACGTACGCCCCAGTGTGGCCTTGGCAGCAATTATGATGAAACGCAAGGTGAACCAATCCGATAAGCACGGTCGATTTAAATGTGAAAAATGGTGTGCACGGGCTCAAGTTGATTGGGTTCTGACTTCCACAGAACCTCTAGAGTGTTGTATTTATAAAATACGTTGCTTCTATGAGTAGATTTTTCAAAAGATGTCGTTTTCGGTAGTTATGGAGAAAGGAGGTGTCATGAGTGCGTTTGCGTGTGAAAGCTAAGCCCTTTCCTGCAAACCGTCGTGCCCATGTTAGCAGAAATTTGGCAGGCAGACGAGTGCAAACGGTGTCGGAGTAGAGAGTGGCATCAGATCAAGTTTTTCCTTCGTACTTCTGTATTTCCAGGACACCTGTACAGGTGACAGTGGCGGTGGCTTGTTCTGCCAGAACCCTGCAAACGGTCGATGGCTGCTCTACGGAGTCACCAGCTTCGGCAGTGCCAGAGGCTGTGGACACTACGCCAGCGTCTACACCAGCATTCCCGGCGTGTCCAAATGGATCCACAACAATGTCCGATAGACCACCTGGGTGTCCGTCACACGTGACTAAATCACTCCGAATCGGTGTTTGTGTTGTGTCCGAACAATAAAAAACACAAAACGAGGAATTCATTTGTATATGGTGAAAAAATGGCCTTGGTATTGACTGTTCTTACAGCTGCGTGTTGACTCGTGGAATCGAGACGGTGCGTTGCAAAGCCGTAAGCAATGCGACACTGATCTAGGCGCACGATTCTCGCTGCTGGTATCACTATAAATTCACGCTGGTTGTGGTGGAACGCTGAACCGTGATCTCGATGTCACTTCTGTTGGTATTGGATGAACTCCAGCAAGCGAGGTATCAGAAAATGGCTGGAGACGCCTGACGACATTGGGGTAGTTCTTCCCGTGGAATATCATACAAAAATTGTACGCGAGGGTTCAGTATGTTAAGAAGATATGTGTTCCGTCACACCAATGCCACCTTATCGTCTATTGTCTAATTTTGATTGGATGATAACCGTTAATCAGTTAATGTTCTGCACCACACCTCATCTTTCACAGTCTGTCTGAAACTTTATTTAGCTTGTGAGTACAATTTAGTGCAGAAACGTGGTGGCCCAGTTTTTAGCGTAAATACAACTGTGAGAAGGCCTGAAGCTAAACAGACATTGCTGGCATTGGTGCTGACTTCCACCAACCACACGCGGAGACTGCCGTGACGTGACTACCAATCAGGATGCCAAATTGACAGCGGTAACCAATTAGGATGACGGTCGCATTGCCGATGACCGAAATGACGTCCAAAGATAAAAGCATTTTTTCAGCCTCGAGGGTGACCAATCAGAGACCAGGGTGACGAATCTGATCATGCCTTTTATTTGAATGCTTTCCCAAAGATGCTCTTTACAAAAGTGCACTTTAAAATGCTTCATAGAACACACAACAAGATGAGAATTTATCCCACATTGGCGAATTATGGTCGAATTTTTTCCGTAGTTTTAATAATCACCGATTATTGGTACATTAAAACAAATGTATGTATATGTTGCGACACAAAAAAGTACACACAGCCACTACTGGCACGTTGAGTGACGTAGAATTTGCCATGTGAGGAGCAGAAAGGATTTGGTTGAGAGAAAATCCACATCTACCGCTCACACGAGCCGTCGAATTCAGGGTTCAACTGGTCTTAGTCAACTGATTTCCTGATCAAGTCTTGAATTGATTCACGACCCAGGCTTCAGGAAGTGTGAACCAAGAAACAAACCAGTTTCCGAGCAAATCATTGTTGTTAACACATCAAAACACACGTTGCAAGGTAGAAATACACACACGAACACACGCAAATGCACACTTTTTCCCTAAAGAAAGCAACAGTAAATGCAGGGAGCGTCAGCAAATCAGGGTTTAAACCAAGAAAAACACAGGACGTAGCAGTAGGGCGTAAAATGAGGGGAGGGTGGCATGTTGTCAGGCCGAGATGTCACCGTTTTGCTACAACCGGAAAGACAAGATTACTAATGTGTGCAAAGCGAATTTCTCCACACAACAATGGTGGCAGCAATTGGAGGAAAAAGTACAGCTGATTCCCATGCAAACTGCCACCCAACGGCAGTTTGTATTTATCGTGAATTTTAAGATCTGCGGTGAAACAGAAGAGAAGTTGCCAAACACAAACCACAACACCCAAATTTGCCAGAAAAGTTGCACAACTTTAGTTGAGAACTGCAAACTGCCACTAGACCGATTTTAATATAGCATTACGCGGCAAAAGTTAGTTGTCAATTTAAACAAACAGCCGAATTGGGTCCGGTAATACAATATCTTCGCAAATTCAGGAAATGACAAACGTAGCGTTTGCAAATCCAAGCAAACAAGCAGGTTAAAATTCAATTCGTCCGACTCCCAGGCCAACGGAACCACGCAAAATGCAGTTTTGTTTAAATTAACTGTAATCAATAATTGAGTCACGTAATTGATTCCACGAAAAGGCGCAGAAGCACATTACGATGATTGTGGATGTAAATGCTTTCCATGTTCGTCGACTGTGCTGAAGACATCGGCAGATTTAAAAGCCATCCACTATTTGTTGACGCCGCCTCGCTGAGGTAAACCACGTGACCTCATTCAAGTGGATGCACCAATAAAGTGCAGCGGACACTTTTGGCTTGTGTTTTTACACTGAACGGTATTTTCGTGATTAAAACTCAGGTTGAACCAATGAAAATGGGGCAATAATAAATCATGAATCGATATGCGCAGGAATCAATAATGAACTTCTGATTGGCTAAAACAGAGAGCGTCAAAGCAGATTAGCCATTAGAATAACGATGACGTCGGACTTGACTGCGAAAAGGTGGCTAAAAGCGTTTATCAGACACGGAAAAAAAGAGATAAAAGTAGGGAAACCGACCTCGACTACTTTGGTTGCGAATAGCGTCGAAAGCGGCGCCGAAGAGGTCACAGTCGATGTCATTTGCCGCGACCCACGACGTCGTCGGCCCGAGGGTCGCACTTTTCGGTGGTAACCTACGGACATACAAAAAATAACAGATAATACTACCTACTTAGACAAAATACGTAGCATGGCAAAACAGATGAAACTGACGAGCAGGTGGAGGTGGGTGGGGTGAGTCGTGGAGGCGGCGGTGGCGGCGTGGGCACGGCGGGAATCAGATCGCCCATACTGTGCGTCTGTCGAACATTGGCTGCGCTCAGCAGGAGTGCCGAGGCCTCGCTCATGCCCCTCCGATGACCCACCTTCCATTCGACTACGGCGGACGCGGAAATCTTGGAGTGGTGGGGGACAGTCAGTTTAGCTGGCGTCGACGTTTCCTCCGTGTGATTGGCATTCTTAAGGTGCAACACATTAGTAAGAATATGCGAACCAATCACGAGACTGATTGCGTTAATCACAGAAACATCAAAAAATGTGTTCCAAAACTTACTAGGATGACCTAAAAGGTCGGAAGAGGCAAGGAACGAATAACAAGTTCAAATTAATATATTTGGAGCAGCAAATGTAAAAAAGACAGTTAATTCTAATCTGTGAAGGATAACGTGGAATTAGGAGGCAAATTTTTCGATTCAAGAAATATAACGCTACTAACAAAGAGTCAGTACACACTTCCGACAAAATCGGTTCCTTTGGATTTGAAAGTGAACAGGTCTGGTACGACGCAATCAACTAGCGTCTTGGAGGGTTTGAAAAGCGAACACTATGTCAAAACAGTACAACATTATGCAGAAGGATGAAGAAATATATCGAGCGCATTATGTTTCTATGTCGTTGCCATGCACACGACTTTGATCAGTTTAACAAACTCACACCAGTTAAGACTAATTGTTCCCATACCCCTTGATTTTTATCACAAACACGAGGTGCTGCCCGAATACAACCTTTCACTCAACCATCCAAACAAAGTA